CCCTTTGGGACAGAAATTAATCATGTTTGCTAAAGAATATATGGAAAAGGAAGTGTTGATAATAGCAGGAATCTTGTCAGGATGAACGCATACCTGTCCCCAGTACCTTGCAACAAGGTAAATAGTGCAATGACACAAAAACGTCCCTGCAATTATTTTACAGAAGTATTTCAGTCTAGCCATCAGTGAAAAAACAGCCTGACCTATTTCCTTCAGCACTTCCCTCCCTATCTCCCCCAGCCATAGAGGCAGTGGAAAACAAAGATATTTGAATTAACATGTCTAATACTAATTGTTTTAACACAGCCTCAAAGGATTTCAAAGAAATGTAATGACATCCAACTGCAAGCAGCAAATTTGTTTTCTACCTAATTCTTGTCTGATGATATTTGTACTCTTTCCTGGCCATACTCAAGCACAAAGACAAACATTTTAGTACAGAGCTTGACAGCACTGCAGATGTTACAGGTGACACGCACCCTAGGCTATCTACTTTCCAGTCCTTCAGCCTTCATAGAATCATAGAATGGTTTGGGTTGGAAGGGACCTTAAAGATCATCTGGTTCCAATCCCCTGTCATGAGCAGGGACACCTTCTACCTTACATAATGGTACTAGGAAAAGGGAACATTCATCCTTTCAGGCAACTGATAAATTTTCCCTATACACTGGCAAAGTCAAGAACTGTGAAGAAACATAGAATATAGCTCAGCATGATATGACCGGATTTATTTAACCATTTTAGATTAAAACCCTTTAAGATTCCTATGAATTTACTTCTGGTTTAGCAATCTGACCATTTTTATTGAGCTGTTGTTTTTTCATAGCATTTTAAAACCCAGTTAATTCTGGATATCTTGGGTCTTTGTCACTTAGTCACATGAATTTAGGTTTTTTTCAAAAGAGACATCACATGGATTCAAATCAAAACAGGTATCACACAGATATTTATAGCTTTGACTAATTACTTCAGTAATTATTTAATTCCCCAAACAGCTGCCAGGTTCATACCTATTATTCCACAGATGTACAGTTAAAACATTATCACAAATTTATTTACATTTTTCATTGTTACTATAAAAGTTATACAAACACAGCATAATTTTTAGCTTATGAAACATTGATTATCCACTGGACAGTCTGGAAAGTGGCTTCAAAATATAAAGCAAAACAGGAAAAATCTAAGAAACAATTATTCAAAGTTTACCCTTCTATGTATTCTGTTAGCTTGTTCACAGGCTTATTTTTCTTTTCCAGAAAGGTTAGAAAATCTGGGAAATAGCACCTGAGGTATATATGCAAGTTTTATACAGAAATAAATTCTGTAATAGCCACTACGAAAGCTATTCAAACCAGCATTGATTTCCCCATGCTATCGTATTGTTCCCCTACAGGGCCCCAGTATGCAGCAAAGGGAAGTACAAGTGATGGAAGAATGTGTGAAGGTCTAAATAAAGGGCTACTCCTGCTTTTCCCTAGATGAATATGTCAAATTCCTACAAACTCCTCAACAAACGTTGCTAAAGTTTTGCAGCAACCTGGATTATACTTTGTTGGAGAGTGGTCTGCCCACAAAACAGCCTTTCTTTAGTTACCTTGCTGTCAAGAATAAAGGAGGGGGTGAGGAGGGGGTGAGGAGGGACAATACCAAAACAAAGGACACACAAAAACTGAAATGTACTTAACTAGATTTCAGTATGTAGATATTTAGAAATACATTCAGAAGTATTGCATTTAAAGACAGAAATCACTCAACTATGCCTCAACTACAGGACTCCTATCCTAACATGCAGCAAATGGTGGTTTGGCACAGGAAGGTGCTGCAATGCTTATTGAAGGTGACACAAACAGCTTTTACACAGAATGTAATTAAACTTGGCTAATTGATGCAGCAAAAAAAGAGAGACTGTAACATGGCGATTAAGACAATGGTATAGGCAACCTACAGAATTAATAAGAAGGAATTTTTCATCAAACATGAATAACAGAATTACTGACTGTGCTTGCTTCACAGTGACTCACTGTACTAAGTTGACTTTTGAAAATGCAGACTCCTGCATGAAGATGGTAGAATCGCTAGATTAAATAGCCCTGTTGGTATTGATTCTGCACATTAGAAACAAGTATGTCACTGCAGTTACTGGTGGTAAGTAATTGCTTTGACCACAGGTGTCTGGGAACTGTGATTTTGAATGGCATTGCAGGCGGAGTCTTTTGAAATTCTTGAATATTTCTGACCAAGAGTTAAGGCATATGGAGGTACACTTACCAAATATGGACGATTTGAAGAACTTTTATTTGAAGATGACTGTTGGTGGACTGACAGCTATCCTCACTACCACATTCTGCCTAAAATAAAACTAGATCTAAATCTGAAATTTGTTTTCGTTATTAAAGAAATAGCATGTTGTTAATCACCAACAAAACAGATCTCTTGAAAAACAGCATGCTCATGTGTTGGCAAAACCAGAACATCTTATTTAATTTCAAACACCATGTGAGCTGCAATGTACAGCTTCACATAATTAAAATAAAATACATCAACAAAAATAGGAAGTAAAACTTCATAGCAGACACAGTTTACTAATTTTGTACTGGACTGTGCTACAGGAGAAGTGTGGGTATGATGCAACAGATTACACACTGTATTTTGACTTCTAGAATTAATATTTCTCTGTAGCACTAGGGTTACTCAGAATCATAAATGTTTCATATACTGGCATATGAAAAGTTTTGATTTTAATTTTTTCATGAAAGTCTCTATACAAAATATTAATTATTTAATTAAGTGTAGAATTGATACTTCCAATGTTTAAAAATTTACATGCATCTTTTACGTGTACCTTCTCCAAATGAAAAAGATATCTTTCATTTCTATTTCTGCTCCCTTTACGCCCTGTATCTATTTTTGTAATGATAGTAAGCAAAGATTACAGGTATAGATTTTAGAGTTTGGGGGGGGGAAGAATGGTTTGGGGTTTGTTTTTTTTTTCTCTTGGGGGAGTGGGTAAGATTTTTAAAGTAAATAGTAGTATCAAAAAGGTTTTCTTTCTTTTTTTTTGCTTAAGACTATTTTTGTGCTTCACCAACATGAAAAATGTCAAGCAAAATGGATACTTTCTTTAGTACTCTTACCTTGGATAATAGACATGTTCTATTGACAACTGAAAAAATAATACATGTGCCATCTCAGTATTCACAGTATTTTGGGAGGATTTCATTAAACGTTTAATACTTAAACACACCATAGAATCATAGAACAGTTAGGGTTGGAAAGGACCTTAAGAACATCTAGTTCCAACCCCCCTGCTGTGGGCAGGGACACCTCACACTAAACCATCTCACCCAAGGCTTCATCCAACCTGGCCTTGAGCACCACCAGGGATGGAGCATTCACAACCTCCCTGGGCAACCCATTCCAGTGCCTCACCACCCTAACAGGAAAGAATTTCCTCCTTATATCTATCCTGAACTTCCCCTGTTTAAGTTTTAACCCATTACCCCTTGTCCTATCTCTATAGTCCCTAATGAAGAGTCCCTCCCCAGCATCCTTGTAGGCCCTCTTCAGATACTGGGAGGCTGCTATGAGGTCTCCACACAGCCTTCTCTGGTCCAGGCTGAACAATATTCTCACGAAAGCTTTGTAAAAACAGGATTTTAGATGCAAAATAAATTATCCAGTGACAGGAGTATAAGAAACAAAAATGTTCCTATTTTTTAAAAAAATTACAAAATAAAAACCTACCCCAAAACCAACTCCAACACTTAAAGCCATAGTAGTGAAGACTGCTAAGGCCATTGCAGTGAACAGTATCCTACAATCCTGATCAAAATCTAAGAACTGCACTTACTGCTAATTGAATTCAACCCAAATTCAACCAAAATTGAAGTCACCCAGCCTTAAAAACTCCAGAAGCAAGCCACATAACTACTAGTTCTTTTTCCATTGTTGTTGCATATCAGTCCTCTGCTCTGGAGTATTTTAAGAGAAAATAGCTGACATGTCCTTGGAAATAGATCCTTCATTTGCATATTCCATAGGGAAACTAAAGTTATGTCAAACAGATAAGGTGCTCTCTGCTTCACGTGTGGTGGTGTGTGCAATATCCTGAGAACCATGGTAGCTCTGGTACAGGAGCTTAGGCATCCAATGCCCTAAGTCCCTTCCTAAATATCCAGTTTAAAATTTCCCCAGCACAGTTATCTGTCTTATTCTACTTAGTTGGGCATGCTTCCTTATCAGAATTGAAAATGAGTATAGAGCTTTGAGCATAGATATACAACAGTGTTTTAGTTTTGCTCTGGAGTAGAATTTCCTTCAAGGTAGAAGCTACCTTCAGCTCTCATTAAAAAGCAGCATGAGTCGGGACTATATGTCATCCTGAATATGGCAAATGTGAACAACAGCCAGACTGACATTTATTTTTTTATTTATTACAGTTTCACAATAGCCTTTAAGAATTCTAACAAAACCATAGAAAAATCATATTTCTCTTCAGACAACACTGGAAAGCATCCAAAAAAAGAAATTAAAGTGTGTGAGGCCTTTGCAGAGACAGAAGTAATTACATCTGTGTGTGAAGGTTTTGACATCTAAGAAGGATTTAACTATAAAAAAAGTATTGTGGGTAGAAATACTTTTAAAATCATCTGTGGAATTTGGTTTAGAGTTGGTTTTGTGTTTTGTTGTTTTTTTTTCGTTTCTTCAGTTTTGGGGTTTTTTAAGATTTAAACACTAAGGGTGTCAGTATGATTGAAAGTATATTTAGACAAAATAAGACAGTTTTTCCACAAACTTAGGTAGCACTTATAGACTGCATGCACACAAAATCATGAAACAGAAAACATCCAGGTACATATAATTTTGATCAATGTTTTACAAAGAGTATCTCCAGTAAGAATAAATATTTCTATTAAAATGGACTAATAGATGCACAGATCATCTTGTCCATTAAGATCCAGTTTACCAAAAGCCCACCAAAGCCTCTCCACAAACCTCACCTGTCTGTGTACTGGAACTAGTATTAGTGGCAAGCAGGGAAACATTCATCCAGGCTAACTAACTGGTGAGTCCTTATCACCCCTTCCAATGAAGAGAACACTCTGTTAAACCTAGAGATAAAACAAGAGTCACATACCAGATATTTGCCAGAATTTTCCTTCTCTTGTATCGCTTTAATGAGTTAAATATTATTTTGCATGACTGAATTGTTCTCTTCCAGCTACTGCTGCTGGGAGTTCTGAGAAAAAGATATGCAGAAAATTGTGTGTCTCCAGAAGCTTTGTGTAACTGTGAAATCAATAGTCATGCAAACAAACAGGCAGTCTAGCATTTCAGTAACCAAAGGTTATAGCAGATGTTTACTTATCACCTCTCCTGAATGAAACGTAGTTACTATGTTTAATATGTAACAGCATCAATTTATATAGCATATCAATGATCAACAGCATTTTGTTTGTTTTCTTATATCAAGCACTGTGGGTAATCAAAAGTAGAAAGCTCGAATTTTTTAACAGTCACCTGAGTAACTAAAATGTATACTCAAATGCCAAAAAACAGTCTTTGGGAATAAAGTATCTTCAAGGCATTAAACATTGAACAGGCTAAAGTTCAGGTTCAGACTCAACTATATGAGTTCAATATGAAAATGACAAAGTAATATTCAGCTAACACTTAGCTTTAAAACTTCTAGTTTTATCTGAGTAAACAGAATATCCTCTCTCTCAGCAAAGATCATCAACAAACCATTGCAACTTCATTTCCACAGCTGCTGCAAATTAAATAATCAATTGTCTTAAAATAAGAGTGCATCATATGTACACTGGTAGCTGCATATGTAACGGGAGATAACTCATGGTTAAAAGTGCAAATTAACTTTTGAGTACAAACAGTTTTACTATAATCATCGTAATAGCACAGTCTGGACAAGTCCAAATCCTTACTGATTTCACATCTTCTAGGAAAAGTATCTCTAAACATTTTTTACTAGGTAATATTTACACACATATATGTTACATATACTCGATTTAAAGTTATCTGACCAGAGTTACAAATGTACAGGTCTTAATTTTCATGGAAATGTCACTCCAAAAATCCATTTCAAAAAGCCTACAGCACGAAGTACATTCTTGTTATCTCACACCTTCAACAGGAAGAAAAAGAATACCTCTCTTCACCAATTTTCAAATCTTCAATGAAAATTTCCTATTAGATTATGAGAAAGTTGGTAAGTATGGAAGGAAAAGAGAAGTCAACGCTTCCCAGCTGTGCCTGAAAAGAGGACAAAATGAGCTGCTCCTCCCAAAGGACAATACTCATAGGTGCTTTACTCATGTAAATAAAGAGTTGAAGAACTTTTTAAGGAAAGGCAAGATGTCTGAAGGAGGCAAAGGTCACTGTTTACTGTCTCTTTTTAGGGTCTCCCATTCTCACTGTGAGATCTCCAAAACCTCCTCTAGATTTCTTGGCTTTCCTCATTACTCTTAACTTCCCAGTGACTGACATGACTGACACTGACCTAAAGACAACTCAAAAATAAGCAAACATGATTATGAAAAAGAGATTTTCAAATAAATCCTCAAGTATCAAGTTTTTCTGAGCTAAAGACCATAACTGTAGAATAGTTCATATTCTGCAGTTGCCAATTGTGTGCAAAAGCAGTTGATGACTAAGACAAAATTTGTAATACAATTTCTCTTTGCTTTTTCGTTCCATGCTAAAACTGTAGAACACTTTTGCACTCATAACAAACACACACAATGCAGGGAGAAAAGCAGTAGTACCTACCTTTATAAGCAAGAGGTCATCAGCCTACAGATCTTCATATCCCCATGCTGTACTGAAACTGTCATGCTGCTCCTCATTCCTCAGTGTGATTCCTGGCTTACTGTAAACATCAGGAGCCTCAGCCAGGGTGATGATGGAGTTTGGTGAAAGTTAATGACAGACTGAATTCCATCATGCGTGTTCCCTTTTTCTCTACCTTTTCCTTCTCTTTCCTGACTTATGTTGCTTTGGCAATGTCTTACTCCTGTCTTCTGTTAAAATGCCACAATAAAAATGAAAACCACTATTTACACCACTAGTATTCTTCCTGTTTTCTGGCTGCCTTTAGTCTCTGCCCATGCTCAACATTTATTTGTTTAGAAGAGTGCCTAAGCAGTACAAAAAAGATCACCTCTCTACTCCTCAACAGTCCAGGACCCTGAAAGTGCAAAACAACCTCAGCACCTTTAAGAGATTTCTTTATTGGAGGAAACATTACCGTGTGATGTGGGAGGGGCGGAGCTAATAAAATTGCTCTTATTCTCCATCAGTTATAGATTGGAACAGAAGGATGAAAACTCCCTTGTATCATAAGCATTTCTGCATCTGCATTTGATTCCTCAGCTCTGATGTCTTAAGGGCAGAACCATTAGCCTGACACAGCATGTATTTACTGTAGTTCAAGACAAATCTGATGATGTTATTTGTGTTAAGATCTTTTTAATCCTATTTCTACCAAGAAGACAGTAACAATAGCAGAAAATGCAATGCTAAGCCTCCTCTTCACTTCCCTGCTCCTGTAAAGCAACTCACCTACTATGGCTGATAACTAGAGATTTTCTTCCATAAGAAAAAGTCTACTACAGTTATATTATTACTAGTGTGTGAACCTGAGACAGTTTACGAGACAGTTATGTGAGTTTGGCAGAAAACTATTGCTTTCCTTTTGACATGCATCTACCTGGACTTGTACAAAGTATTTGACACTATCCCTTGTGACGTTCTTGTCTCTAAATTGAAGAGACATGGATTTGATGCATGGACCACTTGTTGGGTAAGGAATTGGCTGGATGATTACACTCGAACAGTTGCAGCCAACAGATTGATGTCCAGTTGGACACCAGCAACAAGTGGCATTCCTCAGTGGTTGGTATTGGGACTGGCACTGTTCAACATCTTTGTTGGCGACATGTACAGTGGGACTGAATGCACCATCAGCAAGTTTGCCGACAACACCAAGCTATGTGGGGCAGTCAACATACTGAAGGGAAGGGATGCTATCCAGAGGGACCTTGACATGCTTGAGAAGTGGGACAGTACAAACCTCATGAAGTTTAACAAGGCCAAGTAAAAGGTCCTACACCTGGGTCAGAGCAATCCCAGCCACAGCTACAGGGTGGGCAGAGAAGAGATTCAGAGCAGCCCTGAAGAGAAGGACTTGGGGGTGTTGGTTGATGGGAAGCTTAACATGACCCATCAGTGTGTACTTACAGCCCAGAAAGCCAACCGTATCCTGGGCTGCAACAAAAGGAGTGTGACCAGCAGGTCGAAGGAGGTGATCCTGCCCCTCTACTGTGCTTTTGTGAGACCCCACCTGGATAAGAAGGACATGGACCTGTCAAAGAAAGTCCAGAGGAAGGGTGCAAAGATGATCAGGGGACTGAAGCACCTCTCGTATGAAGACAGGCTGAGAGAATTGGGTTTGTTCAGTGTGGAGAAAAGGAGGCTCCAGGAAGACCTTATAGCAGCCTTCCAGTACCTAAAATTGGCCAACAAGAAATCTGGAGAAGGACTTTTTACATGTAGTGGTAGGACAAAGGCAATGGCTTTAAGCTGAAAGAGAGTAGATTTAAAATGGCTATTAAGAAGAAATTCTTCACTGGGAGAGTGGTGAGCTCTGGAACGGGCTGTCCAGAGCGGTTTTGGATGCCCCATACCTGGAAGTGTTCAAGTCCAAGTTGGATGGGGCTTTCAGCAACCTGGTCTAGTGGAAGGTGTCCCTGTGCATGGGAGGGGAGTTGGAACTAGATGATCTTTAAGGACCCAAACCATTTTATGATTTTGTGACAACATTTGAGTTATTTTCTGTAAAATATGTCAAAATGCCTGAATAATAAAGAAGTAATAATCCTTTTGGAAATACCGACTTTTAAGCAATGCTAAAGCTTATTTTCAGAATACTGCTCAGCTAAATACTTTCCAGAGACAAAGCACATTTATTTCATTCTTTTCTGATGCTTGTCTGCTTATTTACTCTTGGTACTTCTCCATGACTGAGTACCACAGGGGATTGCCTATTGAGAAGCTGTTGAGTGGCAAAGGCATTCAGCAGAGGGGAGGGCAGAGATCTAACAGCTTCTCACACAGCTGAACTCAGGTCAAGCAACTGCCCTGGAAGCCCTGTGAACAGAACTTTGTTTAGAACAGATAGAAACCTCAGAAAGAAAAGCTAAACCTCTTATTCCATTTTAGAAGTTATTTAAGAGTACACTCTATTAATTATGTCACTCCACAAAGAAAATAAAGATAAGACCATCGCCCCCTGAGTCTCCGGAAAGAACCACACTTATCATAAGAGAGCAGTGAAGCCCCTGGCCTCATCTCAGCATAAAGTGAGTGAAGAAAGCAAAGGGAAGTGGTATGGCTCCAGCAACGATATGACCTCCATCAGCATGCCTGCCAATTCAGCTATGTTGTTTGAAGTACAGCCTGAATAGCTCCCATGCAGATAACTTATACTTGTAAGCAGCAGTAGCAGTGGTAGGCTAAGAGAGACCTGTCAGCTGCAGTCCAAATCCTGTCCTTGGACTCATCTGAGGATAACACAAATCCACAAACTAATTATTTTTTTATTATGTATTTAAATAAAAATAAGACTTGTTAGTTTATTATAATTAATTAAGAAAAAGAAAATCATCTTTGAGTATTTCCAATGCATGGCTTCGGCAATTATTCCCTTTGCTGATTAATTTGTTTTTCCATGCTGTATCTCTAGTCAAAACTAATACAATTTTGCAGTCTACAGTGCTAGTGCTCATTATCGTAATCCCTAATGCAATTGCAAAGGAAAAGGCTGCAAAGACTCACCTTTATTTTTCATAGGAAAAGTCCACAGATAATGTCAAGCTTTTTCCTAGGATTTGGTACACATGTAAAATTTGCTATTGGTTTATGATGCTAATGCTCATTATCTTAATCCCTAACGAAACTGAAAAGGGAAAGACTGCAAAGTCTTTATTTTTATTTAAGAAAAAAAACAAACCTTTATTTTTCAGAAAGAGAGGAGTCCACAGATAATTTCAAGATTTTTCCCCAGGTTTTGGTACCCATTTAAAAGTTGTTATTGATTTTAGATGCATGCATTTTGAATACTTCAAGACAGAGCAAAAAATGCAATGCAAAGGAATAGTACAGGAAACGTTATTCCTGACAGATTTGTGTCTATATTGAAGCTATAGGGAAACGGATCAAAAAG